TCTCTAATTCTATTCTATTCTATTCTATTCTATTCTATTCTATTCTATTTCTTATTCTACTATTCTATTCTATTCTGTTCTATTCTATTCTATTCTATTCTATTCTATTCTATTCGACTCTACTCTACTCTAATTCTATTCTATACAAATATAACCAAATTATCACTCAATTACCTGGCTACCATCTTGGCTCCCTCAAGAGACTGGGTTTCCCGGACGATGCTGACAGCTTTTTCCGGATCGTTCAGGTGATCCAAATACAACCGGATCACGTTGTCCCACTGCTTTGCGTTTTCATAGGCCAAAACAGCTTCTTTGTATCTAAAAGGACACATCATCAGGCATTACTGTAAATTCAAAATGGGAATTTTAAAGCTACTTTTAAATTAAATGTATGAAAGTATGGTCATTAAATCATTGTAATGGCATGTGGGAATATCTATCTATCTATCCATATTTATCTATCCATCCCTATCTATCTATCTATCTATCTATCTATCTATCTATCTATCTATCTATCTATCTATCTATCTATCTATCTATCTATCTATCCATCCATCCATCTATCCATATCTATCTATCCATCCCTATCTATCTATCTATCTATCTATCTATCTATCTATCTATCTATCTATCTATCTATCTATCTATCTATCTATCTATCTATCCATCCATCCATCCATCCATATCTATCCATCCCTATCTATCTATCTATCTATCTATCTGTCTGTCTGTCTGTCTGTCTGTCTGTCTATCTTCTTTCTCCGTCCGTCCGTCCGTCCGTCCATCTCTATCTATCTATCTATCTATCTATCTATCTATCTATCTATCTATCTATCTTCTTTCTCCGTCCGTCCGTCCGTCCGTCCATATCTATCTATCTATCTATCTATCTATCTATCTATCTATCTATCTATCTATCTATCTATCTATCTCTATCTTCTCTGTCTGTCTGTCTGTCTGTCTGTCTCTATCTTCTCTGTCTGTCTGTCTGTCTATCTATCTATCTATATCTGTCTCTATCTATCTTCTCTGTCTATCTATCTATCTATCTATCTATCTATCTATCTATCTATCTATCTATCTATCTTCTCTGTCTCTATCTATCTATCTATCTATCTATCTATCTATCTATCTATCTATCTATCTATCTATCCATCCATCCATCTATCTATCCATCCCTATCTATCTATCTATCTATCTATCTATCTATCTATCTGTCTGTCTGTCTGTCTGTCTGTCTGTCTGTCTGTCTGTCTATCTTCTTTCTCCGTCCGTCCGTCCGTCCGTCCGTCCGTCCATCTCTATCTATCTATCTATCTATCTATCTATCTATCTATCTATCTATCTATCTATCTATCTATCTATCTTCTTTCTCCGTCCGTCCGTCCGTCCGTCCATATCTATCTATCTATCTATCTATCTATCTATCTATCTATCTATCTATCTATCTATCTATCTATCTATCTATCTATCTATCTCTATCTTCTCTGTCTGTCTGTCTGTCTGTCTCTATCTTCTCTGTCTGTCTGTCTGTCTGTCTATCTATCTATCTATATCTGTCTCTATCTATCTTCTCTGTCTATCTATCTATCTATCTATCTATCTATCTATCTATCTATCTATCTATCTATCTATCTATCTATCTTCTCTGTATCTATCTATCTATCTATCTATCTATCTATCTATCTATCTATCATCTATCAATCTGAGAAAGTGACCATCTCCCTTGGATTGGGGTGGTGTAGAAGGAAAACCCCATCCCTTCTTTATTTGCTGCCTTTGTGCCCAAGGAGAGTGGCGCTTCCACCACAATGCATTGCTCATCATTCTGCTAAAAGCAGCAAAAGCTTGTGGATGTTGTGGCTGCCACATCTAATCCTGCTGAGCGTAGCTAGACCTCACGACTGCAGGCATAAAAGGCATGTCAGAAATTTAACTCCAGGGAGGTGTACCTGCCATCTGCTTCCTTTGCTTTGGCGTACTGAAGGTGTATTTTTGGAGAAGAGACATGCTGAAGAAGCTCACCGACTTTGGCCCTGAGCGACAGGAATAAATTATATTTCATAAGGGTAATTAAGTAGGCGCATTTCCCAGTTTCATTTCGGTTACGCTCACGCCGTCGTCTCCAGAATAAAGATAATTTGTTGAACTGCATTATCAGTCTCAAAACTTTAAAGGTGAGCTTGAAAGGAATTTGACAACTTATTTAGATATACAGGCAGTGCTCAACTTAAAACTATTCGCTAGGTGACACGTCGAAGTGACCCCAAAAAAAGGTGACATATGACCGTTTTCAAACTTATAACTGTGGCAGCATCCCCATAAACACATGATTTTAAAATTGTACAAAATAGTTAGCATCCCTGTGTGTCTGGAGGCAATAATGCCATGGTACATGCCTGCCTTACATCGACAGCTCTTTATCGTGAGTTTGAGACTTCTTGGATACAAAATGCCTATTTTCAAAAGTTCAGTATTGTTACAGAGAGATTTATTTTGTTGTGCCTCACCCAGATGACAATAATTACT